TAATAATAATAATAATAATAGATGAATAAAAGAAGCTTAAAATGGACACCTTTAAAAATTTTAGTTACTGGTACATTCAAAACACTGACATTTTGGATTGTTTCAAAACTCGTATACTTTTGTAACTAGCGGTTTAGGAACTATACATCATTTTATTCATTTACTTATTTGTTTTAAAAAATAACTCAAAAGAAATACGCGCGTTGAATGATTAAATAAAGTTCTCTTGTCATGCTGTTCGTTATTTTCTTTGGTCTGTTTTCTAACCAAAAAAAGCAGATGAAAATAAAAAAAAAACATTTTCCTCGTGTTTGTATCGACTTCAAGTATAAATCTACCAGCGTTCTATCATGAATGCCGTTCTCTGATTGGCTACGCTAATCACTATCTATCACTATCTATCTAGCTGTAGATAGTGACTAGCGTAGCAGCGTGCGCTAGGGGTCGCTTCTTTCTGTTTTCGAAGTGTCTTTGAAGAGGATTTAGATTAAAGTTTTGAACGACTGCTAGATTTATACTAAAACAATTAGATTATTCGCTCTCTATTTCTATGCATGATAGAAGTCTCGAGCTCATAACGTAATTGTTAAATAGAAACACTCATGAAAGTTTGGGAGAACTCGAAAAAGCTGTAGGAACACTCACCGATCGGTTCGTGTTCACGCAGCATTTCTCGTCTGCCAACTCAATAGAAACAAGAAAAATGTTTTCTATTTCTTAAATAATTGACTCCGTAAAATCTTTAGCTTGTCTTGGCGCTCTTGGCATGGAAGATGGCTCAATCTCTGATGGTCAAATAAGTGCTTCTTCGCAATGGGATTCCAGTCATGCCGTTATCCATGGCAGACTTCATTTTAAAGCAACTTCAGGCAAAGCGGGATCTTGGTCTGCTCGCAGCAACGATGTTAACCAATGGTTCCAGATTGATCTGGGAAGTCGGCACACTGAAGTGACACGTGTAGCAACGCAAGGAAGAAATAATTCCCCCCAGTGGGTAACCAAGTACAAACTGCAGTATAGTAACGATGGAGTGAACTTCCAGTACTATAGGGACCAAGGAAAAACTGCATATAAGGTGAAATACATGTCGACCTAACTTACCAAAATTTAAAAACTATTTTTATTATTATTTTTTTTTTTTTTTTTACATTTCTTGGGTCAAATTCTTGCCAGTTTTAAAGTGTAGAGAATTCACCTTCAAGCGGCAAGGAGATTAAATGGCGTATTTTCTGGAGAATTCTCTGAAAAAGTAATTAGTCTTGTCACCTATCCATACATGTGGATATTCTCTAGTTGTTAGACAAGATAAGGATTACTTGGTTAATGAAAGAAGCCAAGTTGTAGGGATCAATTCTGACTACGATAACTCGTTTATACATGCTACGATCTTTGCCATTTAGAATTTTACTGGAAACATCGACCAGGACACTGTGGTATATCATGAATTAAGCCCGCCAATCAAGGCACGTTACATCCGCTTTCTACCGCAAGCTTGGGCTGGCCACATATCAATGAGAGTGGAGCTGTATGGCTGTCAAGGTACTGCAGGCTTTCCTCCATCATTTTTAACCTTTCAAAGGCTATTCAAGTTTGAAACGAGCTATTTAGTATTTTATTGATGTGTGTGTTCTGTTATGGAGACTATTTACCGGTTGCTTCAAGTTCACAAAATAACAAAATACCGAAGGCATGGCAGAGAGCTAGATGTAACATTAAAAATGAATAATATAATATTAAAACTGAATTGTACATAGACAGTCTCAATGCCTCTTACAGTCTTCAACCCTATTCTAAAAAAGGCTAAAAAGCTTTGATTAGTCTTGATTCAAAACAATCCAGAGAGGAACAATGATATTTCGTGAGTCATTCCAGAACCTTGGTGCAACAACCGAGAAAGATCTCTCGGCATAGTAAGCCGTTTCAGTAGTCTTTGGAATAGACAGCAGATTTCTTATTGAAGGGGGCTCATTGCATAGCTGTCAGAACTAAGACGTGTACTAAGTGGTTACCAAGTGATCTGATAATAGAACTATACTTAAATTCGTTCATATAATAACGTGGTGTAAACTATTTATCCTGTTACTCCATTCATATGCTAAGTGCAGGCCCTCATCCCTGTGCATGTTTTTCCACTTCCCCCAGGATGAGATACTTGTCAATCCTAGCTCCTTCCCCCCGCCCAACTCCATTACACACCTTAGTGTAGAGAGATACTGTGAAAATAGTGTCTTGCTCGCATTACAAATTGAACCCGGTCATGACTCGAACCCAAACCACTCGATCAGGGTTCAAGTACACCAACCTTTACGCCATCGTTCACCAACACCCTAATCCATCTTAAATTTAACTCAACCGATACTGAATTTAGTTTATTCTTCAATTAAAACGGAACAAATGTGTTGTTAATCAATTTAGATGATCAACCTTGTGATACGTCCGTTGACTGGTGTGGATGGAAAAACGTCCGTGGGTGGAAAAGAGTCAAATACCAAGAGCTTGACCAGGACAATCAATATGACAGCGGCGTTAAGGATATTGAGATTGCCAGAGGTAGGTACTTTACATGTTCTACACACCCGCATATCTTGATTGGCTCTCGCTCAATTAGATAAATCTGCTAAGTGTATAGTACCCACAATTTGCTTTTACAAAACTGCGAGAGTTTGAAACAACGAAATAATTACAGAAAGCGTGGAAGCAGTCATTGATAAGATTGAATTTGTGGA